CCGGCGCTAGCTCACCGCCCACGCCGCCGCAGCGCCGATAAGGTGCCGAAAACACTGTCAGGCCTTCCAGATAAGAAAGATTCAGGGCGAGGCAGAGCACCAGCTAGAGAGCACTAACACTTGTCGGGGTTGTAGCAAGGATGATAAGCCGGGCGCGGGAGGCTGGTGGGGGAGCGCCGGCACCATCTGTCCAGAGCGAAAGTCCGGGAGGCTGAAAGCCACCCTTCACCCAGGCAGCTGAAGCCCTGCCCTTACACGACCCTGCTGCTCGGCACCTGTGCCCACGCACCCCCCACATTATCACCTTCTGGGCGCACACCGACACAGTTTCGAGGCGCTCTTGCTGCTGCCAGAGTCATTCCTAAAAGGGCTCAACGCTTCCATTTCTCTCTGAAGCGGAGGGTCAGAAGCAGAACCACAAGCATTAGCTCACGGTATGATCACCCAGTCACTCCCCGTCACAACGTCACCAGCTGAAGTGAAACCTGCGTTATTTTCTTTCACAAGAAAAATATTTTCTACCTGAGGGACATAATACAACTTGTGAGAGCTGAGTTATGCGTATCGGCTCCTACCTCCCGTCCTCATGAGCTTCTGGGCAGCGGCGGCGGCAGCGGCAGGAACCGGGACACCGGGGTTCCCTGTCACCAGCATCGGGGCGGTGGGCAGGATCTCTGCTGGGACCAGGCCTGGGGAGACGGGCCCCAGGTAGGGGTTGAAGGCAGCTGACGCATTGGTGGCTAAGCTCGGTGCAACGGAAAACATCGGCTGCGACCAGAGAAAACAAGAAGAAAGACACTTTAAATACTTATACTTCCCATGCCACCAGCACAGTAACTTTTGGGCTATCGTCTTGAGCACGACAGCAGTGAATTTCTGTTAGTAACGGGAAAGAAGCGTTTGTCGCGTTTGCGGGACATGAAGAACGCCCGTGCAAACGTCAGGTCCATGAGGGCAGGCATCCCCCGCTGGTTCTCCTGCTCAAGCTTCCCCTGTGCGATTACAGCACGCGGCAGCTCCTGGAGCAAACTCTCACTTGATCCCACTTGAGCAACACCATCATAAACGAGCGCTCCTCATGCCTGAGGAGAGAGTCCGAGGCTCTTCGAGGGACAGATCCAAACGTCCGCTCTCAGGGAAAAAGGCATCTGCACGAGAGCCTCGACACACCACCAAACCACACTCAACTTCAGGCACAGACAAACACATTCCTGACCCTGAAGACAGCCAGCACTGTTCAGAAATTACAGAGGTTTAATACAAGAACACGACCAGATGACTATAACCATTTATTTTTCCAAAATTAAACAGGCTGTCCACACAGATAATCAGAAAGAAATACACTGCATCAAGGATACGCTTTATCTAGACTAAAACATTAAGGCAGAGAAAGACAGAGAGCATGCAAATACTGGGGTTTTTTGTTTGTTTGCTTATTTTAAAAAAAGAAGGAGTCAGATGCCCTTGTAGGCTATCACATGTTGTGAAGATAATTGGATGTAGAAAACCAAATAATGCTGTAAGACCAAATGTGGAGCTGTAACACTACTGTAAAGATTAAACAACTCATCTGCTCCACCGAACGCAAAGGCACTGTGCTGCCAGTATCATTGCCAAATAAAACGTAGTCTGGAGTGTTTATCTTTAGTATCTAAATAAAGTAGTTACTCAAGGCATTCAGATTTTTCTTCCAAACTAACTTTTAGAGGGAAAAACAACTACCAAGTTAACACAGCTCTCTTCCTCTGTTGCATATCTGTTTAAGCCAGACAGTACGTAACACCCCATCTTTTTGTATTCCTGAGGAAATGACCGAACCCTTCGGAAGCAAGGAACCAGTCCATTTGAAACACTGGACAAAAACACATGCAGAGGTTACTGAAGAAAAATGACTGAAAGTTGTGTAAATTGGAATAATTTCTTTCACATCTCTGGTTCTTCATCCACGTGAATGAAAACAAACAGGCAAATTTGACAGGAAATAAAATATTGCTCTTCAATACACTATTAATTAACTGCACTTTTCATTACCGTGTTATCAGCTACATAATAACGAACATTAAAAATAAAACTACGAATCAGTTTGTTAGTGTGTAACTTAAGAGATATCAATGTTTGATTTCAGCCCAATACACTCGCTGTACAGTAAATAAAAGACTGCCCCATTAGTATTCTACTGAGATCATTTTATACCAATATAAATATTCTGTGGCCTTTAGATCACTGCAAAATAACAGCATATTTGATCAGAGCCACTTCATGTTAGTGTGAAACTCGCAGGTATTTTGCAATGTGCTGTACCCATGTCACTTAGGAGACAAAACCCTGTCCTACAGCGGTGTCAGCCCAGGCTCGGAGCCCTGCTGCTGGCACAAAGAGACCACGAGCATCCCCGCTCGCCGTCTGAAATCCCCTCCCTCGAGTGCCAGCTAAAGGCGGATGAGAGAGTGAACTGAAAAGACGGGAAAAGCCCACAGACATTGCTTCCAACTAAGATAACTAAAACATTTATCAAACAGAAATATGAGCGAAAGGACCCTACTGCTTCACTTACCAAATCAGAGCCTCTCATTAGTTAGTTCACCTACTTTCATTAAAGCACAGGGCATTGACTTTTGTAAAATAAAACCAACTGACTGAAGCGTCGTTAGATGGGACGACACAAATCACTTGCTAGAACACCCTGAAATAACATCCGTACCAACCGTGTCAAAAAATAAAGCAATTTTAAGGCCAAATTAGCAGGATGACGTCCATTTGGAAGCGCTATTGCTGGGACAGCCAACGGGCCTTGCTGTGAACCCTCGTACTGAACGAGACTAGCTCTGAAAACACAGCCTGTGATGCTGCAACTCCAGCGATGTTCGCAGACGCGACCCAGGCGCGGGCGGAAGGTTTGTGCTGCACTTCAGAACGCACTGACTTAAACTTGGCTCGTTAGGGGCAGCACGAGTGCCGCATAAAGGAGAATTTAAATTTGATTTACACGTTATCCTCACACTAGCCTCTCTTTATATTAAAAAGGAACATCAATCCAAAGGACTGCCTGAGTATTTTTTCTCATGTTTACTCAAATGTTGCTGCGCACTCACACGCTGCGTTGTGCAAACCCGAGAGAGCCGTATCTGCTCACAGTTCACCAAACAAACAAACAGGCTAACAGAGAAGACCATTCTAAGCAATGGCTCTTACTGTTGGCTGCATTTTGACTTAAGCTTTCTCATAGTCCCAAATACGAATTTGCTGGCACTGATGCTGTACCGCTGTACTCAAATCAGGAAATAAAACCAAAATTGTGGCATGTGCACACGTCTGTTTTGAGCTGCCGAAATTGAAAAATCATTTTGAGGTTGCTCTGGAGTTAAAGCACGTAAAGCAGAGGCTGCTTTTGAGCTGTCTGGCTGTACAGACAGTTTTGTTTCTGCCCTGAAAGCCATCAGCAGCGGGCACCAGCCCCCGGGCAGCCCATTTCTCCTGCCAGAGGGGCGTGAGGAGCAGGCTGGGCGGCGCAGGGTCAGGGCATCCCCTGGAGCACCGGCTGCCACAGCACTCGGTGCCTCTGCGCTGATGCTGCCTCGGCCCATCGCCTTGCCTAGGCGACACAGACAATTTTACTTAAAAGGCCAATCAAAAGAGAGACACCAAAATGTGGCACCTTCTCACGCTGTGCTAACAGGTACTGAAGTCAATTTACTGTGACCATCCTACCACATTTTCTGCTTTTCTCCCCCACGTACACTTCTTCTTGAAAGAGCCGAGGCATAAAGCTCTGTGGGAGAATAACAGCTATGGTCACTGAATCAAACAAGCTACAAAATATTTACTGGTATTCTGCAGACCCACAGAACGTGGGGCCAAATAACCATTTGGCACAAGTAGGAGAGTCCTTTCTGCTGAGATGATTTTTCCGAAGGATTTAGCTATATTTTGAGGAGTATTAATTGTCACTTTGTTTTTTGAAACAAAAGTTGAAAGACTCCTCTAACAGAGCGAATATGGGTTTCCTAATGGAAGATAGGTACCTAGAGGTAAATTAAACTCCCCAAATTCTACCTTTGCCAGCAAGAAAGGAAATAAAAGAACCGTCAGAGTAGTGCTAATGCAGATATATTTATTTCATAGATTTATTTCCATTTATTTTCTCCTTTGCTGCCATTTTACCCATTGAAAGAGAGTGCTTCAGCCAGGGGAGCATTGTTTGCCGTTTTATGTAGAATACACCAGTCGTGCTCATGCATTAATCAGCGCCAGTCTCGCTCATACATTAATCAGTACCCTCTAATGTCTGAGCTAGACATTTATATCAAAAGGGTTCTGGGCCAAATTTATCCATAGGTTAGCTCAAATGACCTCTCTGGATTGCATTAGAGAGGGATCTGGCACAGGGTGTTCAGCTCCCAAATGTGTACGTGCACGGCGGGCTGATGCCAATCATCCCTGCCCCTGCTGAAAGGAGGGATTACTGCAGAGCGAGGAACAGCCACGGCGCCTGGCTGTGTGGAACACTGCACTGCGCTTACCCACCAAGGTGGAGCAGAGACAGACAGGACGCAATATATGATCCCATTTTACTGTGACCAGAGGAGAGATTTCTGGTAGATTCTCCTTCCCCCACCGCTCGGCTTTCTGCAGAAAGTATGATTATCTGTCCTTCTCCTCCCTCCTGCCAAGCCTGAGCTGTGGATCGTGCTGGTCAGACTGATGTGCACCGTACATCACGCAGGGTAAGCTTTCTGCTCTGCCTGACAGCGTGCTGTAAAAACCAGAGTCCAATTCCAGCCAGTAATTCCCTGAGAAGGTTTCCCTGAGCGGAGGGAGAACATCCAGCGGGAATCCTCTAGGGATTTCCTAGAGCACATGAAATGGCAAAGGAAATGCCTATTTATGAAAACCCCACACAGATCACTCACTTCCTTAATTTCAATAAGTCGCAAAAAATTAATTAAATTAACAAAAGGGTAACAAAGTTAATTAAATTAGCAACATTACTTCAGGGAAGGAAGAATGAAGCAGTGCAAAGATCAGCATTTCATTGCATGTGATTTCTCCACCAGCTACCGACGTCCGTGGGACGGTGCAGGCGTGTGAGCACCCCTGCTAACAACCCACTGCAGCTCCCGCTCACGGCACTCATCGACGGAAGCCAAAAAGCGCACGTACCACAGGCTGCAAGGGGGCACCAGGCATCATGGCATTGGCAAGCTGCATCTGCTGGGCCAGCATGGCCATGTTCTTCTGCTGAATCAGGTTATTGCGTCCATTTATCTCCAGCTGCGTTTTTAAGTGTGGTGGTGGGTGAAGATATTTGCAGTTTTCCCTTGAACATCGGCCCTGAAGAAGAGAATTGACACAGCCGGGTTAGAAGCTATAGGCGTACCTTTGTCCTTGTGTTATCGGCTAAAACAAACCCAACACACGCTACGGACCCCGGAGGAAAGCCCCCGGCTGCCTCCCTGGGCTATCACACACCGACCAGAGCGACTTGACAGTTCCGGTAGCAGCTGCTTGCTTTGCCTTCCTGAACTACGGATTTCTGCGGTACGACTCCAAAAAATACGGCTTCTTTTAAGAGTTGCTCAAGGTGAGCAAACACCAGCTGTTCTGAAAGCACAGCACGGCCACCCTACGGGCACACGGTTTTGCTCAGTGACAGCCATGCCCATGGGGACTCTGAACGC